CCACATAGCTAATAAGTAAGTGGTGGAGACAGGATTCAAATCCAAAGATCAAGATGCTCTTGGAAATTTTTGTTCAAAACGAGAGTTATGTGGACTCCTCTCTAATGTGGTCTGGTCCTGCTCTGCTGGTATTTTTTTCCTCCTAGCATTCTCAGGATTTAGCGATGGAGGAGAGGTCAGAGACTGACTTATGTCATCTCTGAGCCTGGGAATGGGTGAGTGTATGTGTGTGTGTGTGATGGGTGGGCAGTGACCTCCTCAGCACAAAAGAAGGTGAGACTCCTGTGTCTTCAAACTAAACATGTTGGAAAAGCATGGCTATTGAGAAATTTCAAGTCTCAAAAATGCAAACAAGCTTTGTTGACACCAAGTAAATACCAAAATATGACTTCTCGTAAAATGTTGAGGCTTGAAATAGATTCTTATGCTTTTAATTCAGTTTGAACATTTGTGAAATAATGTCTTGAACTATCATTTTAGCCTATTGTTTTTTAGCCCCCAAAAGGCAGAAAGAAATAGACTACAACTTGACTAGGTTAAGTTTTGGACAAATTAAATGGCTCAGTGGAAAGAATTTCCTACTCTTGAATTATTTAATATTTTTGCAATCCTGTGTGTGGTTTATCTAACTAGCCATCAGCAGTGGGTCCTCTGCCCAGTTGGGTCTTGGTTATTTTTGGTTTTCTAAACTGAACTCCATCTCCTATGTCTTTCCTTTTTATTTAATTTGAACCAGAGCTCAGCCTGTGCATAAATTTAAAGTCAGATTGCTTACTCTTCTATTTCTTTGTTTTCCATTTTGAATGTTTTTCTATTGAATTCTTCTAATGGAGAACAAAGATTTTTCTTAACCTGTCCATCTCTTCCATACACTTCCCCTCAATTCATCCTTATAATACACTTATTTTCTCTACTTTTGGTCAAATCAATTCATCATTCAGATGATGACTGATAAACGTCACAAATAGCTGTAAGTGATATTTATCCGTCACTTTTGTATTCCTTGAGTCACCCTCTCTCCCGAGGTGCCTATTACTAGTTAATCATAAAGCTTTTCTACAAAACTGCTACCCTCCCAATATATTCTAACATGTGAGGTTTATTTTTCTTAGATTCCTCCTTCCTGAGCCCTCTGTCCTCCTGCTCTAATCTGGGCTGATTGCTCTCTGGGCCTCTGCACTGTTGTCTTCTAGGGACAGATTTTGAACAACAATCTTTCATTTTGGGAGCTGGGAAAAATGTGTGACCACGGCCATCTTTAATAGAAAACCTCTCCCTTTAATGCATCATAATCTTGA